AGTCTGTGGAGACAAAGAACTTTGTCCTTGGAGGCAAAGAGGGGAATGGTATAAACCTTGGTAATAAATACCGACAAGTTGGTTAAGAAAGACACTAGCCAAACACTATAACATATTTATTAGAAAACGTTTCGACCCGGGACCTTGATCACCTCTAAGGGGAATGTATGAAGAGATAGTTTTACCAACGGCTCTTATATGGGTGTGAAGCAATGGGTGATGAATGTTGCAGCGAGGAGAAGGCTGGAGCAGTGGAAGATGTCATGTCTGAGAGCAATGTATGGTGTGAAAATAATGCAGAGAATTCGTAGTTTGGAAGTTTTAGGAGGAGGTCGGGATTACCAAAACTGTTGTCGCAGAGGGCTGAGGAAAGGGTTGTTGAGGTGGTTTCGGACATTGGAGAGAATGGAGCGAAACAGAAATAACTTCTAAGAGTGTATCAGTCTGTAGTGGAAGAAGGCGGGGTATGGGTCGCACTAGGAAAGGTTGGAGGGAGGGTGTAAAGGAGGTTTTGATCAGTGCCGAGGGGCTTGGACTTCCAGCAGGCATGACCGTGAGCGTGTTTGATAGGAGTGAATGGAGACAAATGGTTTTTAATAGCTTGACGTGCTGTTTGGAGTGGAGCAAAGTAACATTTATGAAGGAGTTTCAGAAACCGAGGCCCGGGACTTGAGTCCTGGAAGATGGGAAAGTACAGGTGCCTTGCACTCTGAAGGAGGGTGTTAATGTTGCAGTTTAAAACTGTAGTGTAAAGCACCCTTCTGGCAAGACAGTGATGGAGTGAATTATGGTGAAAGTTTTTCTTTTCGGGCCACACCCTGCCGTGGTGGGAATCGCCAGTGTGATAATAAAAAAAAATAATAATAATAATATAATATATATATTTATATATATATATATATATATATATATATATAGAATACATAATATATATATATATATTATATATATATATATAGTAATATATAGTATTTTTTTTTTTTTTTTTTCAACAAGTCGGTCGTAGCTCCCCCACCGGGGGGGGGCAGGGTGACCCAAAAAAAGAAAGAAAATCCCCAAAAAGAAAAATACTTTCATCATCATTCAACACTTTGTACCACACTCACACATTATCACAGCTTTTGCGCAGAGCGTGCTTCAAATACAACAGTTTAGAAGCAAAATACGTATAAAGATCACAACATATCCCACCCAAAACTGACATATCCCAAACCCCTGCCTTTACAGTGCAGGCATTGTACTTCCCATTCCAGGACACAAGTCCGACAATAAGAAAATAACCGGTTTTCCCTGAATCCCTTCACTAAATATACCCTGCTCACACTATGAACCAACAGATCGGCATGTCCCAAGTTTCTTTCGTCTCCATTCACTCCTATCTAACACGCTCATGCTCGCTTTGCTGGAATCCAAGTCACCCTCGCCCACAAAAACAGCCTTATACCCTCTCTTTCCAAACCCTTTCGAGACACCCCTACCCCTCTTTCCTTCCCCTATAGATTATATGCCTTATCCATGTCATTCTACTTTGATCCATCCTCTCTAAATGACCAAACAAACCACCACAACAACCCTCTTCTGCCCTCTGTCTAATGCTTTTATTAACCTCCACATCCACACCTTAATCCCTAATTCCACACTCTCCGAATTTCTCTGCATAATATTTTACACCCACACATTGCCTTAGACAGGACATCCTCGCACTGCCTGCCTCCAACCGTCTCCTCGCTGCTGCATTTACCCACCCAAGCTTCACATCCATAATAAAGTGTTCTACTAACTGTACTTTCATACATTTCCCTTTCCTTTGCACTCCATAGATAACGTTTTTGACACTTCCCATATACCTCAACGCACCACTCGCCTTTTTCCCTCCTCAATTCTATGATTAACCCTCATCCTTTTCATAAATCCATTCGCCGACACTTCAACTCCAAGTATCTGAAAACATTCATTCTTCCATACTTCTCCCCCAATTTGATACCAATTTTTCTGTTATCTAAAATCATCTTGATACCCTCATTCACTTACCTTTTCTATGTTCACTTTCCACTTTCTACACTTTACACTCATTCTAAACAAACTCATCCTCGTTTTTTGGCGGGGGGGGGGGGGGGGGGGGCTAGGGGGGAGTGTGGCAGATGTTTTTACATTTAGAATCCCCATAGGGCTGGGCACAGTATCATTCACAAAAAGTAACTGTGTCAATACTTTCTTTTTTAGGGTGCACACATCCCACAAGATGTTTTTCCCCTCATATCTGGGCCCAAATGTCCCACTCACAGTTTATCAATGAGCTACTCATGCTAGACTAGGGTTTGGCACCCCGTAAAGCCGAGTACGGGACGGACCCTGAAAGGGTTAATAACTTTGATAACCAAATCTACAAGAATTACTGAAACAACTGCATCTTCACTTGATCACATCTGGATGAATATTAATAGTCCTATAACAGCTGGCATTATCTGTGATATCACAGATAATGCCAGTCACCAGTATATCAGAATCAATAATGGAAACTAGTAAAAATCAAATTAAGGCTCCATGGAGAGATTTAAAGGAATAACTCAGCACTCGACGTTTGTTGGCGGAGAAAATTTAACGAAGACAGAGACATTAACTCACCTGTCAACGTATTCCTATAAACAATTCAAAGCCCCTATATTTGACATTCTTAAAAAATAAACAAGTCACAACTAAAAGACTGAAGTGGCCCATGTCTATATAATAGCATCCTACTTAAAGCAGTGTTTATGTAGGGTGATTTTTTTTTTTTTTTCAGAATTGCCTTTTAGGCACTTCCTTAATCCTTTCAGGGTCGAGACCTCTGATCTCAAACTTGCTCTCGGCCAAAGAATTTAAAAAAACAATGATTTTTTATTATGAAATGATAGAGAATCTTTTTCCGAAGGTAATGTAACCAAAAGTACGAAATTTGATGAAAAACTTGAAGAATTATGCTCTCACAAAGTTAGTGGTTTTGGCGATGTGTATTTAAACATAAGCGATTTCGCCCACTTTGAATCCACTTGAATTTTGCTCACTTGAATTCCATTATTCCATTTGGCTAAACTTGTAGCTATTTTGCTAGTATTCCTTCTATTCTATTGATTGAACACAAGAAATTGCTCATTTACCTATTCCAACTACCCAGTAAAGTGATTAGAAATCGAGTAATTTGGCCAATTTCACACAAAATTCAAAAATTGCCACTTTAAATATAGGGTTAACAATAAACAATGTAGACATTTCTGGTGCTAAAAAAAAAAAAATTCTCTGTTCATTAGTTATGCCCCCAGGCCTCTCTTATATTATGCTTGCTTTCCATTTTGAATTTTTATTCTCGCAAAATGTAATAGATTTACTGTTATGCTGACTTCTGAATTATTGTAATAATTGTATAACTAATGTCAATGCATTCCTAAATGTGTATTAGACTGGTCAGTTGGACAATATATTGGACGAGTGATGTCATTTGTGTACTCTGGAATATCAGCAAAAATTGAACATTTCCTCTACTTTGAGCTCAATCTGAAGCTACTTTCAGTCCTGAAACAAATCAAAATCATCTCTATTTCTGTAATGTATCTTTAGTTCTATCAAATGAAACCAAGAAACCGAGAATATAACCATAGAAACCATATGAAAAAATACCACAAGTTTGCCATTTTAAACCAAAAACAAGGTTGCAGATTTTTTCCCATTATGCACTGCTTGATGCAGGATTTTTTTATAAAGTGCACGCTTATTGCATAGATTCATTGTCTCATCTCTAGGCCCAAACTTACTGCTCAAAGCTTGTCTTAGTCAGCTGAGCTCATGGGGTAGAACTACGGGAACAACACTGGCTTCAAAGCCGTAGTACAATGGGACTGACCCCAAAAGGGTTAAAGAGCCAAAATCAATGCTAGTAATTTCCAGAATTTTAATTTACGATCTACAAAAAAATTTCTTGCATCATTATCTTCCTGGTAGGTTAAGCATGGATCATGTTACATTCAGCCACTAGAAAACTTTGCTATTAATCTCTCTCATCAATGAATTAACCTTGAAAAATCCCAATCTGAAGCTTCATGCAATTTTCTCTTGCAATGCAAATTCTGTTAATAATAAGGAACTAAGTTTTACTGATAACAATATCAATGTCATTATTGTATAAATACACTGTACCTGATATCACAATACTTTTTAGCTGGAATTATGTACCACTTTACTGTTTTTGTTCTTTTGTACCCCTTTAGGATTTTTATATTCTCTGATTCTTGCTGGTTCATGGACGTCTTAATCCCACTTCCCATTCATTCTTTTCATGTAATATCTCATTGGCCAGTTGTATGTGAAGAGGTCATTTGCGTTCTTCTTTATTATATAATTCCCTCATGGTTTTGGCAAAAAATGAAACAAAGGTTTCACTTACATGCATCTAGGAATATTTCTTCCTCCATAAGCCATGCGTGTTGTAAGAGGCGACTAAAATGCCGGGAGCAAGGGACTAGTAACCTCTTCTCCTGTATATATTACTAAGTGTAAAAGGAGAAACTTTAGTTTCTCCTTTTGGGCCACCCCACCTCGGTGGGATATGGCTGGTGTGTTGAAAGAAATATATATTTTTCATTTCCATGGGGAAGTGGAACAGAATTCTTCCTCCGGAAGCCATGTGTGTCATAAGAGGTGACTAAAATGCCGGGAGCAAGGGGCTGGTAACTCTTTCTCCTGTATACATTACTAAAGTTAAAAAGAGAAACTTTTGTTTTTCTTTTTGGGCCACCCTGCCTCGGTGGGATATGGCCAGTTTGTTGAAAGAAGAATATATTTTTCATATGCAGTTTTACTCTTTCTTTATTTTTAATCTTTCTTGCAAGAGCACAAGAGAAAGCAACCAGTGTTTCACCTAATATTATGTCTACAACAGAAGGGTGTTAAGAGACTTGCAAAAGTCTAGATGCAGCAACAACCTAATTTATCTTTTACTAAGTGATTAAAATGCACAAATTTTCCAGGTGAGGATGTAGAGGGCTTTGGCTATGAAGAGATTATTAGTGACGAAGAAGATCTTCCTGAATATCAGTATGAAGAGGAGTGGCTGGTAGATGAGTGGGAAGACTGGCTGAAACCTTTCAGTCCAAATCAATTTCAGATGCTTGAATTACAATATCTCGTCAGTCCAACACTGACTGACTACCAAGCTGAGTATCAAAGATGGAAGGCAAGATTTGAAATGGAAGACCATGAGGTGGAAGAGGAACCCCATCAGGTCAGTTGATATATAAGTCTCTAATTTTCCAGGGAAAATTAGAGACTGAATGATGAGCAAATTCATGAGTGAACACAAGCAATAAACTGGCGCAGGTTGCCTATGGTTCAGAGAACAGTGAAAAATGTACAGGTCCTGGATGTGGCCTCTTTGGCCTGTACTGGACAAATGTTGGAATTAGCAGACTTGATCTGATATTTCAAAGACAATTGGACATTATTGCTACAGACAAAATGAATAATTATGAACTTTTGTCCATTTTGCCCAATAATTAGAGCTTTTCTCCAGCCAGTTTTTTGTCTGAAATTGCTGAAATCTGTTAGAGGTGTAGCTACTGTCACAATGTTCAGTGTTGATATTTTGATGCTGCGTTCTAATGAGCTCATACTGCCTTTCCATAATTATAGGAACCTTGATCTTGACCAGGTTGGTGTGATGGTGAGAGATGCCTTGGCCAAGGTGGATGCATTTTCACTGTTGACCAATTAACAAAGATTCATGATGAGATTTTTTGGCTGTAACTAGTAAGTTTTGTTCTTTTATTGCTAGAAGGTTCTTGATGACTTTATCTCTTGGTATGATTCCTGTAATTAAAAGATAATCTTAGTCGAGAGATTGCCAAGATAGAACAAAAGCTACATGTAAAATTGGACCATTAATCACAGGAGGTTCATATGCTGAAGATGAAAAGGAAATGAGTGAAATTCTATAATTTCTATAAGACTCAGTATGAGTCATTGGGTTAAGAACACAGATTTTTTTTTCATTTCATCATTTCATCTGAAGGCCACATTGATCATATAACTGACACTGGCTAAAGAACAAAAAGGCACAGTACCGTAAATGGAACATTGTACTACAAATAACTTGCACTTGCACATTAGAGAGAGAGAGGCTTATGATGAAGTGTGACTTGTAAATGGTCCCAGTCAGACCAAAACATCATCATAAGTGTCTCTCTCCTATGTGCGGATTATTTGTGTATGACACTCACTAGTCGCATATAATGTATAAAAGAAATAGTAAACATTAACACTGATTCAGCACATGGAGTAAGAGCTTAGGTCTAGCTGACATTCCAGAGACCTTAAAATGTGCAGACATAGCTCCTGTGCATAAGGAAGGCAATATAACAATAAGTAAAAATTTGTAAATCAGTATCAGTATCCCTAACTTCCCACATCACAGAAGTCTTCGAAAGAGTGATGAGAATCAAAATTACAAATTTTATGGAACAGCACAATTTTCACAACCTAAACAGCATGGATTTAGAGCTGAGAGATCATGCTTGTCACAGTTACTAAACCACTATGACAGAATTAAGGAAGCACTAGCAGAAAACCAAAACAGATGTGGTATACACAGATTTCGCAGAGGAATTGACAAATGCGATCATGGGGTGATTGCTCACAAATTGAGAGTTACAGGTATAGTGGGGATAGTTGGCAAATGGATATTGAACTTTCTGATATATAGAACGCGAAAGTAGTAGTGCAGTAGTACAGGTCGGCCATTACTAATCCAGCATCATTGGGACCTGTAGTGTGTCGGATTAGTGAGTTTGTTGGATTACAGAGTGGTTAGGTTAGGATACGCTTAATTAACCTATCCATAGAGAGACTGTTACATCTTCCTCATTTTCATCACTGCTTTCTCCTCCACTGGGTTGCTGCTGTGGATTTACAACCATTTGCACAGTTTCTGAGTCAGTATAATGATGAAATTTGAAATTATGCTAGCTGAAATTAGTGTCGGATTACTGATTGAACTGGATAACTGATTGCCGGATTAGTGATGGCCAACCTGTAGTAAAGAGAGCAAAATTCAACATTAGCAAAGTAAAGAGCTCAGTACCCCAAGGCACTATCCTGGCTCCTCTACTGTTCACTTTCCTCATAGCAGACATATATTAAAACGCCCACCACAGTTTTGTATTATCATTTGTGGGTATTACCAAAATAACCGTGAAAAATCACCTCAGTAGAAGATGTGCAGAAAATTCAAGAACATACAGTATAAGCAAAGTTTATCAGTAGGCAGTTGAGCATAACATGACTCTCAGTGATGAAAAGTTCCAGCTGCTTAGAAAGGGACACTGTATACAGAACCTTAGAGGATCATCAACTAAAACAAAAGGAATACATGAAGGACTCTGGAGTAGTGACGTCAGATGGCCTTCTTTCAAACTGCAGAATATGGCACATGTTTTAACAGACAGAAAAATTGTGGTCGATAATGAGAAGTTTTTAAACTAGGGAAATAGTGCCAATGGTGATATTCAGATCACTTGTGCTCTCTCATTTAGAGTACTGTTCAGTGCTGATGGCTCCAGTCAGGGCAGGGAAGATATCAGAGATGGAACAGATACAAAGATTACATATGGCCTGTAGATAGCCAATTAAGCTTTTAAATTGTGCAAGAAAGGTATACAGTACCAACAAGATGAAAGTTAAGACACTTGTGCAACATCTGGTTATCTTTATTGTAGATGTTTTGCCATCCAGTGGCTTTATCAATACAGATTCTAGGACATAATTAGAAGACAGTAGAAGTATGTACAAAAGATGAGGTAATCAGTCCCTCAGCCTGGGAGCTGGTGTGGAGAGCACCATGGTTGTAGATATGTATTCTGGAGAATATCTACAACCATGGTGCTCTCCACACCAGCTCCAAAGCTGAGGGGCTGATTACCTCATCTTTTGTACATACTTTTACTTGCTTTCTTCTTTCTTTAAACACACCGGCCGTATCCCACCAAGGCAGGGTGGCCCTAAAAGAAAAACGAAAGTTTCTCTTCTTAAATTTAGTAATTTATACAGGAGAAGGGATTACTAGGCCCTTGCTCCCGGCATTTTAGTCGCCTCTTACAACACGCATGGCTTACGGAGGAAGAATACCGTTCCACTTCCCCATGGAGATAAGAGGAAATAAACAAGAACAAGAACTAGAAAGAAAATAGAAGAAAACCCAGAGGGGTGTGTATATATATGTCTGTACATGTATGTGTAGTGTGACATAAGTGTAAGTAGAAGTAGCAAGACGTACCTAAAATCTTGCATGTTTAACCCTTTCAGGGTTTCGGCCATACTAGTACGGCTTACGTGCCAGGGTCCTTGACGTACTAGTACTCATAAATTCTTCAAATCTAGTGAGAGAAAGCTGGTAGGCCTACTTATGAAAGAATGGGTCTATGTGGTCAGTGTGCACAGTATAAAAAAAATCCTGCAGCACATAGTGCGTAATGAGAAAAAAAAAACTTTGACTATGTTTTTGGATTAAAACAGCGACTTTGCATTGTATTTTCGTATGGTATTTATTGTTGTGTTCTAGTTTTCCTGGTCTCATTTGATAGAATGGAAGACATATTACAGAAATTGAGATGATTTTGACTGGTTTTACAATGAAAAGTATCTTGAAATTGAGCTCAAAGTAGCAGAAATGTTCGATTTTTACCGAAGTTCAAAAGTAAACAAATCATGCTAAGCATCCAATACACATCAACTGGTGAGTCTAATATTCTTTTACAAGTGTGCTGATATTATTTATGCCGTTTCTACACTAATGCAGTAGTCTGCATAACAGTAATTCTTCTATTTTTTGTGAGAATAAAATTTCAAAATGGAAAGCAAAAGAATGTAAGAAGGGCGTGGGGATGTGACTAATGAACAGAGGAAATGTTATTACAGTGCCAGGAATGTCTTTCTTGTTTATTCTGGACCCTATTTGGAAATTGGCATCTTTTGAATTTTGTGTGAAATTGACAAAATTGCTAAATTCAGACCACTGTATTGGATAGTTGAAATCGGTAAATGGGTGGTTTCTTGTACTCATTCGATAGGAAAAATGGAGTTCTAGCGAAATAGGTATGATTTTTGTCGACTAGTACACTGGAATTGGCTGAAAATAGGGCTCAAAGTGGGCAAAATAGCCGATGTGTAAACATCGTCGAGACCGCTAACTTCGCGAGAGCATAATTCTGTAAGTTTTCCATCAAATTTCATACTTTTGGTGTCATTATGATTGGGAAAAGATTCTATCTTTTCATAAGAAAAAATAATTTTTTTTTTTTTTTGAAGTTTGGGGACCCTGAGAACAAGTCTCTGAGAGGGCCTGTGGACCCTGAAAGGGTTAAGAGACAGAAAAAAGACACCAGCAATTCTACCATCACGTAAAACAATTACAGGATTCCGTTTTACACTCACTTAGCAGGACGGTAGTACCTCCCTGGGCGGTTGCTGTCTACCAACCTACTACCTACATGTCTTCTAATTATGTCCTAGAATCTGTATTGATAAAGTCATTGGATGGCAAAACATCTACAACAAAGATAACCACATATTGCACAAGTGTCTTAACTTTCAAGTTTTTAAATTACTGGGAATGCCTTAAAGCCCTAATATGTATTTGGTGGAACAGAGGATAGATACTTGATAATTTATACATATAAAGTGCTTAATTAAAGGCCTTGTCCTAAATCTGCACATTGCCATAACAATGCACTGGAGTGACAGATATGAGAGAAAATGTACAATTAACCCAGCAAAAAGCAAGGGTGCCATGGGCACAGTAAAAGAACTTTGTATCAACATCTGTGGGCCCAAACTTTTCAACATCTTACCAGAAGATATCAGAAACACTGCTGGAACAAGTGCAGAAGTCTTCAGAAGGAAACTTGACAAGTACCTTCACCAAGTGCTAGTTCAACTAGGCTGTGTTGCTACTGGCAGCTAGCCTGCTGTATGTCCAAGCCCCTTGCACACAAAACCTCTTTTACCCCCACCCTCTATCCTTTCTTAATATGACCCCTACCCCTCCTCCCCTCCACTACAGATTTATACACCCTCCAAGTCATCCTATTTTGCTTCATTCTCTCTAAAGCACTAAACAACCCCTCCTCAGCCCTCTCAATAATACTTTCAGTAACTCCACACCTCCTAATTTCCACACTACGAATTCTTTGCATAATATTTACACCATAAATTGTCCTTAGACACGACATCTCCACTGCCTCCAGCCTCCTCCTTGTGCAGCATTTACAGCCCATTCTTCACACCCATATAAGAGTGATGGTACCATTGTACTCTCATACATTCCCTTCTTTGCCTCCATGGATAACATTCTTTGTCTCTGCAGATACCTCAATGCACCACCCACCTTTTTTCCTTCATCAACTCTATGTTATACCTCATCCTTCATAAGCCCATCTGCTGAGAGGTCTACCCCCAAATATCTCCCTCCCTAATTTTTCTTTACTTAACTCGTTTGATACCCTCATCATCTTACTCTTATCTATATTAACTTTCAACTTTCTTCCTTTACACACCCTCCCAAATTCATCCACTAACCTTTGCAACTTTTCTTCAGAATCTCCCAAAAACACAGTATCATCAGCAAAAAGTAACTGTCAGCTCCCATTTTGTATTTGATTCCTCATAATTTAATCACACTCCTCTCTCCAACACCCTAGCATTTACTTCTTTTACAATCCCATCTATGAATAGGTAAAACAACCATGGTGATTACACATCCCTGTCTAAGACTTACGTTTACTGGAAAGTAATCTGCCTCTCCCCTAACCTGAGCCTCACTCTCCTTATAAAAGTTCTTTACAGGTTTTATTGACTTACTACCTATTCCATACACTTGCAACATCTGCCACATTGCTCCCTTATGTACCCTTTTATATGCCTTTTCCAAATCCATAAGTACAACGAAACTTTCCTACCTTTATCTAAATATTGTTCGCTTATATGCGGAATTCAGTGTCAACACTTGGTCTACACATTCCATACTCATTCTAAAGCCTCCTTGTTGTTATTATTAATTTTTTAATACTCTGGCCATCTCCCACTGAAGTAGGGTGATCCCAAAAAATAAGAAACCCTTTCACTGTCATTCATTCAATCACTGTTTTGCTACAAGTGTGCTGACATCACAGTTCAGATAATCCGAGCTACAACATGCCCTACCCCTCCCACAGAGTGCCAGTAATGAACTTCCCAACTCCAGGACCCAAATCCAGCTAATCAGTTTCTCTGAATTCCTTTTCATACATTACCTTGCACACACAATTACAGCACCTCAAATCATAACAGCCACTTGCCTCCACTCCTGTTTAACATTCTCTCAAAAACCTGTTAGACGTCTAAGTCCCTAACAATCTAACACTTACTTACCCTTTTCCTCCAACCTTTCCTGGAACAACTTCTACACCTCCTCCTCTCCACCCCATATTCATACACTCAACTAATACTTTTATTTTTATTCTAATTATTATGATTGTGGTTATTATTATGATTGTGATTATGGTTATTATTATGATTGTGATTGTGGTTATTCAATAACAGAAAGGCACAATACCATGACTGGTATTTGTGTATTGTGGCTATTATTATTATTGCTTGCATTCTTGCTTTCCTTGGTGAAAGGAATAGTGTAAAAAAATCAGTTTAATTTTTTCAGGCAGCTAAGCTTGAAAATCTTCTTGCTGAGACCATCATCCCTGTGGTAGCTGCTGAGGAGAACATAGTGGAGACAGAAGCAGGAGAAGCCAGGGAAGAAGAGGGGGAGAAGTGGGTACAGGCTATGGAACATGTCTGTCAGCTCCTTCCCAAAGGACTCCCTTTTTTAGTGGCTAAAAATGGATCTGGTAAATCTTAAAACTGTTGCTATTTGAGTACCTGAATTTTCCAGCATATAAAGCCTGCTTTTTTTCCCACAGAAAGTCTGAAAATCTCCCTGCACCTTATGTGCTCAAGGTCAGAGTCAAGTGTAGGCTTTGGGTTATGCTTTAGCTGTTGTGTATTTAAGTTATGTTACAACTGCTTGGAAACATTGTTTTATATATCCCATATGCTCACACGCTTTTTATGCCAGAAAATACGGTATACAGGTCTCCCTCCACATTAGTGAGGAATAGGGGATCAGGAACCTCGCGAATGTTGAAAAATCACAAATGTTTGGTGCACAAACATATTGTAGGGAAATATAATAATAGCATTTACTTAGCCTAACAATACTGCTTCCTTAACTTATTGAACCATGAACAATCATAAAACACATGAAAACATCGTAAAATGTTGTACTAGTGCCAGCCCTTTGGTAAAGGTGAGAAAGACTATAGAATTCAAGAAAGAACTTGTCGCAGAGTACCAAAGTGGAGGAGGAAGAGAGAGGGGAGAATGTGCTTTCTTCAGTGATTCTATGATATGTACTACTGTACTAAAGCAGCACGAGTCGATAAAAGCTATAGCACCAGTCAGCGATAAAGTGTAGCATTAACAGTGTAGCAAGTAAGTTAAGTGATTAATCAATAGAAAAAGGACAGCACGAACCTAACTCCTCCAGTGTTGTTGGAGTTATATAGGGCAACTGACAACACTGCCATCTCTAGTCTCTACCACCTCCACTATGTAAGGCTTATGTTCCCAGTGGCCCTTATACACCCAGCAACAACAGCACAGCAACACTTATGACATACTTAATGACATATTTTATTCTTTCTAGAGTAATGTCATGTTTCTATGTTATTAATATTATTTATTATGTCATATTAGATGAATTGTGATAGATTAATAAGCCATAGAGTTGATATTCGTGTCATATTGAAGGACTATCTTGTCCTATCTCCAAACAAACTTTGCCATTGCCACAATTCCTAACATACTTAATGACATTTTATTCATTCTAGAGTATGTCATGTTTCTATGCTATTAATATTGTTTATTATGTCATATTAGATGAATTGTGATAGATAAATAAGCCAAAGAGTTGATATTAGTGTCATATTGAAGGACTATCTTGTCCTATCTCCAAACAAACTCTGCTACTGCCACAGTTCCTAACATATGTAATGACATATTTTAAATATGATTGGGCATCTGGGAATTCGTGAATGTTCAAAGCCCGCGAAAGTGGACAATGTAAATGTTGAGGGAGACCTGTACTGTATATCTAAAACTCCAAGGCTAAATAATATTGCATGGTAATTCTATAAGAAAACAATGACATATATACAAACTATCACTTAAGATTTTTGTGCTTTTTAAGGGGGTATTCATTATAAAGAATACATCATATTTTGTATATATTTTGTATAAATGGAGAGTTAGAGGTATTGGGAAGATGGAGGGAATATTTTGAGGAATTGTTAAATGTTGATGAAGATAGGGAAGCTGTGATTTCGTGTAAAGGGCAAGGAGGAATAACATCTTGTAGGAGTGAGGAAGAGCCAGTTGTGAGTGTGGGGGAAGTTCGTGAGGCAGTAGGTAAAATGAAAGGGGGTAAGGCAGCCGGGATTGATGGGATAAAGATAGAAATGTTAAAAGCAGGTGGGGATATAGTTTTGGAGTGGTTGGTGCAATTATTTAATAAATGTATGGAAGAGGGTAAGGTACCTAGGGATTGGCAGAGAGCATGCATAGTTCCTTTGTACAAAGGCAAAGGGGACAAAAGAGAGTGCAAAAATTATAGGGGGATAAGTCTGTTGAGTATACCTGGTAAAGTGTATGGTAGAGTTATTATTGAAAAAATTAAGAGTAAGACGGAGAATAGGATAGCAGATGAACAAGGAGGCTTTAGGAAAGGTAGGGGGTGTGTGGACCAGGTGTTTACAGTGAAACATATAAGTGAACAGTATTTAGATAAGGCTAAAGAGGTCTTTGTGGCATTTATGGATTTGGAAAAGGCATATGACAGGGTGGATAGGGGGGCAATGTGGCAGATGTTGCAGGTGTATGGTGTAGGAGGTAGGTTACTGAAAGCAGTGAAGAGTTTTTACGAGGATAGTGAGGCTCAAGTTAGAGTATGTAGGAAAGAGGGAAATTATTTCCCAGTAAAAGTAGGCCTTAGACAAGGATGTGTGATGTCACCGTGGTTGTTTAATATACAGTGGACCCCCGGTTAACGATTTTAATCCGTGCAAGAGGGGTAATTGTTATGCGAAATAATCGTTATGTGAATGAATTTTCCCCATAAGAAATAATGGAAATAAAATTAATCCGTGCAAGACACCCAAAAGTATGAAAAAAAAAAATTTACCACATGAAATATACATTTTCCCACACACAAAGAGAAGGATACATGCACAATAGTAGAGTAGTACATGCACAGTATATATTGTGCATGTACTAGTCGACTAAATGAAGAATAAATGACACTTACCTTTATTGAAGATGCAGCAATGACTGATGAGACACTGTGTCCTGGGAGTGCCTTTTCCTCCTGAGTACTGTAGGTCCTGTTTGGCATTTTCTTCCAGAACAGGCCTTATCACACTGTGTATGCCACTACGATTCTTAAATCTCTCAAACCAACCTTTGCTGGCTTTAAATTCACCAATATGAGCACTTAGTTCCAGGCATTTTTCCCTGTTCACCTGGGTGTTTGTCGACTTGTGTGGGTTGCATCCTGGAGATAAGATTAAGGACCCCAATGGAAATAAGTTAGACAGTCTTCGATGACACTGACTTTTTTGGGTTATCCTGGGTGGCAAATCCTCTGGGGTTAATTGTTTCTTGGTATTCTCAATAAGCCACACCAACAACGGTGCTACAGCAGCAGCAGCAGCTGACAGTGCAGCAGCAGCAGCAGCTGTACCACCAATAGTAGCGATGGTTGATTGGGGTTTATTATACAACCTGGCCAGCTCGGAGACATGCACTCCACTTTCATACTTATCAATGATCTTTTTCTTCATCTCTATTGTAATTCTCACCCTTATTGCTGTAGGGTTGGCACTAGAAGCTTTCTTGGGGCCCATGGTCACTTATTTTCCAGAAAAAGCACCGAAAACACTGTAATAATACGAAATATTCCGATTGTATGCTTGGATGTTACCGCGGAGGCTGGCTGGTAAACAATGCCACCGGCGGAACATGTGAGCGCGTCTCGGAAGAAAATCGGAAAAGCGGTTTTTAAGCGGTATGTGAGGCAAAATTTTTGCAATTAAAGTAAGCGGTATGCGAAATAATCGCTATGTGATGCCTCGTTATGCGGGGGTCCACTGTATTTATAGATGGGTTTAAAGAAGTAAAAAGCGAGGGTCTTGGCAAAAGGCGGGAGTTAAAAGATAAAGAATCATACATAAAGTGGGAGTTGTCACAGTTGCTCTTTGCTGTACACTGTGGGTCTTGGAGATTCTGAAGAGAAGTTGCAGAGATTGGTGGATGAATTTGGTAGGGTGTGCAAAAGAAGAAAATTAAAAATGAATACAGGAAAGAGTAAGGTAATTTAGGATAACAAAAAGATAGGGGATGAAAGATTGGATATCAGATTGAGGGAGAGAGTATGGGGGAGGTGAATGTATTCAGATATTTGGGAGTGGACATGCACAGATGGGTCTATGAAAGATGAGGTGAATCATAGAATTGATGAGGGAAAAGGGTGAGTGGTGCACTTAGGAGTCTGTGGAGACAAAGAACTTTGTCCTTGGAGGCAAAGAGGGGAATGTATGAGAGTATAGTTTTACCAACGCTCTTATATGGGTGTGAAGCATGGTGATGAATGTTGCGCGAGGAGAAGGCTGGAGGGAGTGGAGATGTCATGTCTGAGGGCAATGTGTGGTGTGAATATAATGCAGAGACTTCGTAGTTTGGAAGTTAGGAGGAGGTGCGGGATTTCCAAAACTGTTGTCCAAGGGCTGAGGAAGGGTTGTTTAGGTGGTTCGGACATGTAGAGAGAATGGAGCGAAACAGAGTGACTTCAAGAGTGTAACAGTCTGTAGTGGAAGGAAGGCGGGGTAGGGGTCGGCCTAGGAAAGGTTGGAGAAGGGGGTAAAGGAGGTTTTGTGTGGAGGGCTTGGACTTCTAGCAGGCATGCGTGAGCGTGTTTGATGGGAGTGAATGGAGACAAATGGTTTTTATACTTGACTTGCCTGTTGGAGTGTGAGCAAAGTAACATTTATAAAGGGGGGTTCAGGGAAACCGGCAGGCCGGACTTGAGTCCTGGAGATGGGAAGTACAGTGCCTGCACTCTGAAGGGGGGAATGTTAATGTGCAGTTTAAAAACTGTAGTGTAAAGCACCCTTCTGGCAAGACAGTGATGGAGTGAATGATTGGGGAAAGTTTTTCTTTTTCGGGCCACCCTGCCTTGGCGGGAATCGGCCAGTGTGATAAAAAAAAAAAAATCACTTCTCTTTATTTTGAGAGTAATATACTGTGCCAAACCCTTTATAGGCATTTTTCAAAATGCGTTTTTTGGGACTGTGCAAAATTTATTGTTTTGGTTACCCCCTTTGAAATCACAGGGGGAAATTCATTTAAAACTTTTGTTTGTGGACCAAACTTTTTTTTGATGTACTTGTCATTCCAGTCATTCATGAGCAAGATCCTTGGGTTTTTCGGGCAAAAGATTTTTTTGTGTCCATTGTACTTTCATTTTGTTCATCAAAAAACTGGTCGAGGCAACCAATTAGGATCACCAGCTTTCAAATACCTGTTAGGAAAACTTCCCATACTAAGTGAAGCCAAAAGTAATGAGGTTTTATTGTTGGTCCATAACTCTGCCGTTTATGACTGATAGTGTTTTTCATTTGGGCAAAAATTTTGGAGTTAGGGCTTGGCATTCATTCACAACATCTGTAATGGGGTTCCGGGCAGACAATATATATTTTTATCCATCTATTTGATAGTCAATATTGTTACATCCATCAGTTTATTAAAAAATATTGTGTATTACCATCACTTTGGAAATCAGTTTTTGTCTTTGCCCTCTAGTTTGGGTTTAACAATACTGCCCACTACCATCTAGTTGGTTGTCAATCTCAAAAATTAAGCTGGCCTGTCAGTCAGCTTATCAACATAGATCACTATTGCCACTGTTGTGTAACTTTTGAAAATTTTGTCTTGTTTCATTTTTTTTTTTAATTGACTGTATTCTCACCTCCCTCCCTAAAACATTTTTTTTTGCTTTTTTGAACTTTTTTTAACAGATATACTGATTTTTTGTGTGACTGGGTTATGTCGGGTGGACTTTGAGAGAGTTTTGGGTCAAGAAAACCATATCAAGGTATGTACGGGGTAGGTGTTTTTTTTTTATTTTTTTTTTCATCATTTATTTTCAGTGAAATTATACTTTTTTTTAATTTGCATTTGAATTTTATATACATTTTTAATGTTTTATACAGATTTAGATAAAGGTAGGGAAGTTTTTATGCATTTAGGATTTAGAAAAGGTATATATATAGTGGAAGAGGAAAATGTGGCAATGTTCAAGTAATGGAAAGGGGGGAAGTTATTAAATGCTGTAAGATTTTTTTAAAAGGGGATAGTGAGGCTCGGGTTTTTAGGGTGGTAAAAGAGACGGGAATATTTCCCCGGTAAAAGTGGTCTTAGACAGGGATGTGTAAGTCACCAGGTTTTTGTTTAATATATTTATGAGGGGTTTGTAAAAGAAGTAAATGCTAGGGTGTTCGGGAGGGGGGGTGGGATTAAATTATGGGGAATCAAATTCAAAATGGGAATTGAACATTTACTTTTTGCTATGATACTGTGCTTAGGGGAGATTCTAAAAAAAATTGCAAAGGTTAGTGGATGAGTTTGGGAAGTGTGAAAAGGAGAAAGTTGAAAGTGAAATAAAAAAGAGCAAGGTGATGAGGGTATCAAAGATTTAGATAAAGAAAAATTGGATATAAAATTTGGGGAAGGATAGTATGGAAAATGAATTTTCAGAATTTGGGGGAGTGACGTGTCGGCGGAGGGAATATAAAAGGATGAGGTTAATCACAGAATTGATGGGGGAAAAAAGGTGAGGGGTCTTTGAGGATTGTGGAGTAAAAAAACGCTATTATGGAGGCAAAGAGGGAATGTATGAAAGTATAGTGGTACCAACATCTTAAATGGATGTGAAGCTTGGGGGGTAAATGCAGCAGCGGGAGAGGGTTTGGAGGCATGGAGATGTCCTGTCAAGGCAATGTGTGGTGAAAATTATCAAAAAAAATTTCGGAGGGGGAAATTGGAAAAAGGTGTGGATTAAAAAAAGTATTAGTCAGAGGAAGGGGGTTTTTGGGGTGGTTTTGGTCATTAGAGAAAGGATAAAATAGAATGATAGGGAAAGCAATGAATCTATGGGGGAAAAAAGGCAGGGTAGGGTCGTCCCAAAGGGTTGGAGAGAGTGGCTAAAGGGGGTTTTGTGGGCGGGGGGGCGGATTTCCAGCAAGCATGCGGAGGTGTTAGATAGGAGGAAGGGAGACGAATGATATTTTGGGACCTGACGATCTGTTGGAGTGGAGCGGGGGTAATATTTAGTGAAGGGTTCAGGGAAACCATTTTTTCATATAGTCGGACTTGAGCCCCTGGAAATGGGAAGTACAATCCCTGCATTTAAAGGAGGGGTTTTGGGATTTTTGTCATTTTGGGGGATATTTTTTTATCTTTATATTATATACTTCTAAACTGCTGATTCTGAGCACCTCTGCGAAAACAGTATAATGTTGATGTGGTGAAAGTGTTAAGAGATGAAAGTTTTTTTTGGGGGGATTTTCTTTTTTTTTTTGGGGTCCCCCCCTCGGTGGGAGACGACCGACTTTTTAAAAAAAAAAAAAAAACTTTTTCCTACGGGTTTTCTTTTTTTTTTTTTTTTTTTATCACACCGGGGCCGTTCCCACCAAGCGGGTGGCCCCAAAAAAAAACTTTCACATCATTCACTCCCTCACTGTCTTGCCAGAAGGGTGCTTTACACTACGTTTTTAAAAATGCAACATTAACACCCCCCCTTCAGAGTGCAGGGACGTCTTCCCATCTCCCGGGGTCAATCCCCGGCCCGCCGGTTTCCCTGAATCCCTTTAAATGTTACTTTGCTCACACTCCAAAAGCACGTCAAGTATTAAAAAACCTTTGTCTCCCTTCACTCCTATAAACACGCCCAAGCATGCCCGCGGGAAATCCAAGCCCCCGCACACAAAACCCCCTTTACCCCCTCCCCCAACCCTTCCTTGCCCACCCCCCACCCGCCTTCCTTCCACTACAGACTGATACACTCTTGAAGTCTTCTGTTTTGCTCCATTCTCTCTAAAAGCCGAACCCCTCAACAACCCTTTCCCCACCCTCGGGCAAAAGTTTGGGAACCCGCACCCCCCCTCCAATTCCCAAACTACGAATTTCTGCTATTTCACACCCACATTGCCCTCAGACAGCATCTCCACTGCTCCACCCCTTTCCCCGCTGCAACATTCATCACCCCCGCTTTACAAACCCCTATAAGACGTTGGTAAAACATACTCTCATCTTCCCCTCTTTGCCCCCAAAAGGGCAAAGTTTTTTTCTCCCCCGACTCCTAAATGCACCACCACCTTTTTCCCTCTCAATTCTAGATTCCCTCATCTTTCATAGACCCCTCCGCTGCCCCCTCCACTCCCCAAAAATTTTGAATAGTTTACCTCCCCTACTCTCTCCCTCCAAACTGATATTCCCAAACTTTTATCAAACCAATCTTTTTGTTACCCAAACCTTACTCTTTCCTGTATTTACCTTTTAATTTTCTTCTTTTGCACACCCTCCCAAAATTTATCCCCATCCTGCAACTTCTTTCAGAATTTCCCCCAAAAGCACGTGTCATCAGCAAAGAGCAGCTGTGACAAATCCCCTTTGTGTGTGATTCTTTATCTTTTAACTCCACCCTCTTCCAAACCCTCGATTTTCTTTCCTACAACCCCCTTATAAAATATTAAACACCACGGTGACATCACACTCCCTTGTCTAAGCCTCTTTTACTGGGAAAAAAAATTTCCCTCTTTCCTCATACTCTAACTTGAGCCTCACTATCCTCGTAAAAACTCTTCACTGCTTTCGTAACCTACCTCCTACCCCTACACTTGAAAAATCTGCCCATTGCCCCCCATCCACCCTTCATAGCCTTTTCCAAATCCATAAATGCCAAAAGACCTCTTTAGCCTTATCTAAATACTGTTCCTTTTATGTTTCACTGTAAACACCGGCCACACACCCCCTACCTTTCCTAAGCCTCCTTTTTCATCTGCTACCATTCTCCGTCTTACTCTTAAAATTTTTTCAAATTTTAAAATCTACCATACCTTTACCAGGTACACTCAACAGATTACCCCTATAATTTTGCACTCTCTTTTTTCCCCTTTTCCTTTTTCAAAAGGGAATATGAAGCTCTTGCCAATCCCTAGGTCCTTCCCCTTTTCCAACATTTTTTAAACAATTGCCCCAACCACCCCAAAACTATATCCCACCTCTTTTAACATTTCTTTTTATCCCATCAACCCCGGCTGCCTTCCCCCTTTCATTTTCCCACTGCCTCCGAATTTCCCCCCCACACCACAACTGGCTCTTCCCACTCCTAAAGATGTTTTTTTCCCCTTGCCCATACACGAAATCACGTTTCCCCTATCTTCATCAACATTTAAAAAATTTCCCCAAAAATTTTCCCTTTCCCATTTTTCCCAAATCCCTTTAAACTCTCCTTTTAAATAACTCTCCTCCCCTTTTTTAACTGACAAATCCTTTTGTTCTCTGGGCTTTCAACTTTTTTAATCTCATCCAAAACTTTTTCTTATTTTCACAAAATTGTTGAAACATTCACCCCCCCCTTTTCATTTGCTCTCTTTTTACATTGCTCCCCACTTCTTAACCCTCTTTTTTTTTCCCATTACTCTTCCCCCTTGCATCATTTCTACTTGAAAAAAAATTCTCATAGCTAACTTTTTCCCCCCTTACTACCTCTTTACATCATCTTCCCCCAATCGCTCCTCTTCCCTCCTCACCCACTTTCCTGTAACCACAAACTTCTACTGAAGACTCTAACCTACATTTTAAAACCTACCCCTCTTTTTCGACCCCATTGCTAGCTCTCATTACCCCACATCCTCCAATAGTGTTTTTTTTTCCCTAACTGCCTCCCCTTTTAGTTTATAAACCTTTACCTCTCTTCCCTGATGTTCATTCTCCTTTATCCCCCTACCTTTTTCTCTCATGAGCTACAATAGAAAGTGATCTGATAATCGGGCCCCTCTATAAACATGTAAACCTGAAGTCTACTCAACAGTCTTTTATCACCATACATAATCCCCAAACACGTAAATTTGCCCCACATCATATCGTGTATACTTATTTTTTTTTCAAAAATTGTATTACCTATAACTAAACCCCTTTTATCAAAGTTCAATCAAGGGCTCCCATTTTCATTTACACCGGCACCCCAAAAATTACCTACCACACCCTCTCTAAAAGTTTCCTCCTACTTTAGCATTCAGGTCCCCTACCATTTACTATCATTTCAAAGCCTAAATTAAAACCCTAAATCTCTTCTCCTGATCTTCTCTAGGTGTTGCTCATTAGAACTTCGCATCCAACCTTTACTTTAATCCACATAATCTTGAATTTACAATTCATGTATTTCTCCTCCAAAGTGACATTTAACATTACTGCTCCCCTTTCCTTTGCTCTAATCTCTCAGATACTCCAGTTAGTCCCTTTAAATTTCCCCCACTAAAAACTACACTTCAGCTTTGTTTCGCTTAGGGCAGGAATCCAACTTCTTTTCATTCAAATCAGCAATATCTGTTATTTGTATCCGCACTTACTCCACGCACATTTAGCAACAATTAATAAGTTTCTTTTTTTTTTTAGTAATTGTATACAGGAGGAAGGGTTTACCCTTGATCCCGCATTTTATCGCCTCATACGACACGCATGGCTTACGGAAAGGAAAGTTCTTTTCCACTTCCCCATGGAAATGAGAAATAAAAAGACAAGAGCTTTTAGAAAAAGGATGAAAACCAGATGTATGATATATATATTGGTGGTCTGTGAAGTGACCAAAGTGTTAGTAGGAGTAGCAAGATATCCCTTTATCTTAACGTGTTTATGAGACAGAAAAAGAAACCAGCAATCCTACCATCATGCAAAACAATTACAGGTTTTTGTTTCACAGTCATCTGGCAGGACGGTAGTACTTCCCTGGGTGGTTGCTGTCTACCAACAGGAGAAGGGGTTACTAGCCCATTGCTTCCAGCATTTTAGTCGGCTTTTACAGCATGCATGGCT